TCATTTTGTGACCAGGTGACAAAGATGTAACTAGTTTTGGTCTACCCCTTGCAGAGTAGAGTAACAAGGTAGTTGGTTAACCCTATTTTGGACTTCTAGAAAGTAGAGTGGTAGGTGTAAGCCTGTGTAAACATAATAAAGATGGCCCAGTGAGCAGACAGGTGACCCGAGGAGAGATTGCTGGTCCTCTGGCACATGGGGCATCATTTCAGGAATCAGGGGTATCTTCTGTATCATGCTGCCCATCCTGGGAGAGAACACTCTGAAATGTGGCAGCTCTGGTGTTCTAGAGAGAATGTGTTACATCTATCACCGTTCCAGTGTTCTATTGCTGCTTCACAAACAGCCCCAAATTTAGCAGCTGATAATACTTTATTATGATGTCTTCTAGTTCTGCGGATTGGCTGGGCTCAGCTGGGTGGGTCTTGCCTGGGGTTTCTCTTGTGGATGCAGTCAGATGACAGTGGGGTTGGAGTCTCCTGGGGGCTTGACTGGGCTGAACATCCAGGAGGGCTCACTCATGTGACTGGCAGTTGGTACTCTTGTCCTCTGGCTACTTTATTATATGGTTATACCATCTTTTTTTTGACAAGTCCCTATTGATGGGCATATAGGTAGTTTCCAGCTTTTCGCTATCACAGACCAAATTTCAAGGCACATGTGCAGTACACTCTGTGGGATAAATTTCATGTTTAGGAATTTATCCTCCAAATATTTTTCTGAGGAATTCTTAGGAATTTCTCCTTTTTTAAAAAAAAAAAATTGATGTGTAGTTGATTTACAATATTGTGTTAGTTTCAGGTGTACAGCAAAGTGATTCAGTTATACATATGTCTGTATACATATATGTATATGTGTGTATATATATTTTCAGATTCTTTTCCATTATAGGTTACTACAAGAGATTGAATATAATTCCCTGTGCTATACAGTAAATCTTTGTTGTTTATTTTATATGTAGTGGTATCTATTAATCCCATACTCCTAATCTATCCCTCCCCCCATTCTTTCCCCTTTGGTAGCCATGTTTGTTCTGTGAGTCTGTTTCTGTTTCGTAGATAAGTTAATTTGTGCCGTATTTTAGATTCCACATAGAAGTGATATATAGTATTTGTCTTTCCCTGTCTGACTTACTTCAGTTAGTATGATCATTTCTGGGTCCATCCACGTTGCTGCAAATGGCATGATTTCATTCTTTTTTACGGCTGAATAATAAGGACTCTCACCTTTCTAACGAAGGAAGTTTTCCTTCCTCTGAAAAGTGAACAAGTCTGGCAGAAGCTGGCTTTGTCAGCCATGATCTTTTTGCTCTTGAATTAACCCTCCATCTTCTTTTGAAAAGGCTCTCTTCAGACGTTCTGGATGTAACTCATAGACGTGGAGTCTGGATTGGTCAGAAATACATTTATAGTTGGCGAACAACCCTTCATGGGCTGGAGGGTGCACCTTATGGGAATTCTCTACATGAGCATTTTGTGTTGACTCGGTTTTCCATGTTGTGAAAAGTGGAGAAATGGGAACACTGCCTTTGCTGAGGCAATTGGAGATCTTTTATTTTTGCTCTGAGAAAACCAGAGGGAAGTTCCCCAGAGAACGGGGTGCCCTCCCTCTCCAGTCCCCTCGCCTCATTCCCTTTTTCTCCCCTGTGTTAAAAAGCTTTCTGTATCTCTCTCAGTCAGATGATCCACTGACCCTGAACTCCCTTAAAAGGTCACTGATCTCCATCCCCTCTGCCCTCAAAATTTTTATTCTTTTCAAACCAAATAATGCCAGTGATTTGAGATTTCCATCCTGGACTGTAATAGGAGGTATTCATGTTACATGCTGAGCATTTTAAAAATAGGAGTTTACCAAAAGGATTAAAGTAAACAAGGGTTCAGGTTGGAACCATAGTTGGCGAGTCCTCGGGCACATGGTGCAAGGCTTTCAGAAGACAGTTCTAGCTTTCTTCACGTTTTCCATCAGAATTACCAGGTTCATGTGCCTCTGTTCTATTTTATTAGCTGCACTACCTCTCAAATGACCTTTATCCTGTGTAGACTTGGCCTTCAGAAGCTCACGATATTTTGTTTGCCAAGACCTGGGCCATATTTAGTCTTTTCACATCCCTTCAAGGGAGGCAGTGACTAGAATGGGGACTGTGGATTAGCAGGAGACCATGACCTGTCCTGTGATAGGAGAGCCTTGGGCACAGCTGGGTCTCCCTCAGGCCCTGCCAGGCCCCACCCCTTTGGGGAGCAGAGGTGGGGTATGAGGCAGGAGGGTCATCAGACTCAAGCCCTGCGGTTGTCCTCCTGTATCTTCCAATGTGCCCACCCTCCCCCCGCCCTCTGACAGTTGTTGGGGCCCCTGCCCTTCTCTGCTCCCTCAGCTCTGTTCATCAGCTACTCTCCAGGGCTCAGACTGGCCAGGCTGGACCACACACAGTCCCCCTTTTCCCAGCGCCCTCTCTGGGATATTCCTTGCCCTTCCCCCATCTTCATCATCATGGCCTGGCTGAGATGCTCACCTCTCTGGGTACACTTTCCCGTGCGCCCACTGTCTGGGCTAGGCTCCCCTCCCAGCCACCCCTTGCACCTGGGGCTTCCCAGATGGCAGTGGCCTGTTGCCTGGTCTGCTCTCCGACTAGACTGGCAGCTTCTTGGGGACAAGCCATCCTGGTGCTCTGACCACAGGCCCTGTCTCGGATCAGGCACACATCAGTGTCGGCTGAGACTAAGATGGAGCAGTGAGAATGAACTGGTGGAGGGGGCTGACTGGAAAGCCCTATTCTGGGGTCTTCGCCTCCTGCCACCTGTGAGCCATTGCCCACCAACACTTTCTGACCGTGCATGGCCCTCATCTGCGCTTGGGGCATGGGTGGGGGGGCAGGAGCCTGCGCAAATGCTTGCTGGCTTCCACAAGGCGTTTAGTTGAGGAAACGTTCGTGCCTGATGGAAGCCTCTGGAATGAGTTGGAATAAAGTCCTGAACCGTGTGAGGGCCAGTCCCTCACATCTCAAACGTGGTCCATGGACTGCATGGTGGCATCTCCTGGGAGCTGTCTAGCAATGCAGCATCCAGACTCCACAAGACCTCCTGAATCAGAATTCGCACTTAAAAAAAAATGTATTTATTTATTTATTTTTGAATTTTATTTTATTTATTTTTATACAGCAGGTCCTTATTAGTCATCCATTTTATACACATCAGTGTATACATGTCAATCCCAATCGCCCAGTTCATCACACCACCACCACCACCCCCGCCACTTTCTCCCTTTCGTGTCCATACGTTTGTTCTCTACATCTGTGTCTCTATTTCTGCCCCGCACACCAGTTCATCTGTACCATTTTTCTAGGTTCCACATATATGCGTTAATATACGATATTTGTTTTTCTCTTTCTGACTGACTTCACTCTGTATGCCAGTCTCTAGATCCATCCACGTCTCTAGAAATGACCTAATTTCGTTCCTTTTTATGGCTGAGTAATATTCCATTGTATATATGTACCACATCTTTATCCATTCGTCTGTCGATGGGCATTTAGGTTGCTTCCATGGCCTGGCTATTGTAAACAGTGCTGCAATGAACATTGGGGTGCATGTGTCTTTTTGAATTATGGTTTTCTCTGGGTATATGCCCAGTAGTGGTATTGCTGGGTGGTATGGTAGTTCTATTTTTAGTTTTTTAAGGAACCTCCATACTGTTCTCCATAGTGGTTGTATCAATTTACATTCCCACCAACAGTGCAAGAGAGAACCTGCATTTTAACAAGACCCCCAGAGGATTCGTGTGTGCACTGAGGTTTGAGAGGCACTGGTCTTAGGGGTACAGGGACCAGTTTGGGCAGGGGCTGCAGTGGCTGGAGAAGCTCATCAGGGAGGGAACAGGTGAGCTGAGGCTTGGCAGAAGGCAGTACCCCGGTGGATGAAAGGAAGGTGTTTGAGACAAGGAAGGTGTTAAGCCAGGAAAAGACCAACTCTTCTTGCTAATAATGTTTGTCTGAAAATTAAGTTTTTTAGGTCCTTTTATGAATAGAATTTTGGCAGAACGGTTGTATCCAGCTTCTAAAGGATCTGATAACTAGGAAACCTTTAATGAATATATCAGATCTGGTGTTTTTCATCACACAGTTAGAGATTCTGTTTTCTTCCTTTGAGGCAGCAAACATGGTTGAGAGAATGAACCAGGCAGTCCAGAACCTGGGATTTGGTTATAGTTTTTCTGATAACGAAGCTGTGGGATCCTGACCAAGTCACTTCCCAAGATGACCGTCTTATTTGTTCATGATTCTGGGTCACGAACTGGGGCACGGCTGGGCTAGGCAGTTTTCCTCTGGGCCGGGTTTGTTCACTCAGCTGGTGGCAGCCCTGGCTGGGCTGGAAGGTCCAGTGAGTCTTTATTCATACCTGGCACCTCATTGCTCCTCTGCATGGCTGCTTGGGCTTCCCCACAGTATGGTGGGCTCAGGCTTCCTCGTGGCTGCTGGCGTCCAAGAGGGAGGATGCAGAAAAGCTGCACCGTTTCTTAAGATCTGGAACTGACACAGGCCCTGCCCAGATCCAGGGGGAGAGGAGATATTCTCTTGGTGGATGCTGGTCGGGAGGAAGGAATTGACTGTGGCTGCCTTTGGGGGCTCTGTGATGTTATCAGACCTAGACTCCTCTTTCCTTTCTGCTCTTCCATCCTCTGCACTGGCTTCCGCCTTGGGTCCGAGGTGGCTGTTGGAGTTCTCCTGAGCAGGAAGGAGTAAATCAGGGGAGAGGGCACCATCCTTCCCCTTAGAGAGTGTATCTCACCAGCCAGGTGGTCCCACCCGCAGGACTTGCTGTGAGGTTGGGAAATGTAGGCGCGTAGCTGGGGTCGGGGTGCCCAGCTGGTAATCAGAGGTCTGTCCCGAGGACCAAGGGGAGCATGGGTGGGGGGGTGGTGCAGGAGCCCGAGTCAGGTCCAGCCTAGACGCACCAGGCGGTGGGCGCGCCGCCCCGCACGGGTCCTCACCCCTCTCTCTGTCCCAGTTCACCACAGGCACCTGTGGCGGCGATGCGGCGATTCACACCTGCGACCTGTGCGGCAAGGCCTTCCGCCTGCAGCGCATGCTCAACCGGCACCTCAAGTGCCACAGCCAGGTGAAGAGGCACCTGTGCAGCTTCTGCGGCAAGGGCTTCAACGACACCTTCGACCTCAAGAGGCACGTGCGCACGCACACAGGTGAGGGAGGGGCGCGGCCAAGAGCCCCTGGTCTTTCCCCGCAAGGAACCCAGTCTGGAGCCTGGGGCAGAGCTATGTTTCCGGAAGAATCGTGGGGCGGGGTGTTTGGGGCCGGGCCGCCCGGCTCTGCCACCTGCCATTGGTGTCCCCTGGGGCCCGCGCGCCGCTCTCAGCCTGTTCTCGCCTCGGTGAGATGGGCGGCGCATCACTGGCCGGAAGTGTCCTGGGAGCTGTGATGCCCACTCGGTGCAGCCCTCGGGCCGGGGTGAGGGCTGGAATGTGGTCCCCGTGGTCCCTCTGCTGGTATTTTGTGCTCCTTTCTCGTCAAGTGAGTCTGTCTCAAAATAGCATCACGTTGCTTCCTCCTGAGAGCTCAGAAAGAGAACACGCAGCTGACTTAGCGCTGCCCGAGCCTCCTGCGGGGGCGGGTGGGCACGTGTCACCCCCACCCTGAGCTTTACTCAGCGTGGGTCTGGGTCCTCACCAGCTCCCTTCCACAGACAGCCCTGGGGTGCTGGTTGGCCGCCCTCCTGCCCCCTCTGGCTGTTCGTAGCCTCGGTAGTTTTGTCTAGGAGACACCTGGCCTCCAGGCTGCTCCTTGAGGGCCACACCTGTGCCAGAGCAATCCCTGGGGAATTCTAAGATGCCATTTCCTTGCTAAAAAAACCTCCAGGGCTTCCCTGGTGGCGCAGTGGTTAAGAGTCCGCCTGCAGATGCAGGGAACACGGGTTCGTGCCCCGGTCCAGGAAGATCCCACATGCCACGGAGCGGCTGGGCCCGTGAGCCATGGCCGCTGAGCCTGCGCGTCCCCGCAACGGGAGAGGCCACAACAGTGAGAGGCCCGCGTACCGCAAAAACAAAACAAAACAAAAAAACCTTCTCCAGCTCTGGGCAGGACAGAATCGAGCCATGGCCGCTGAGCCTGCGCGTCCCCGCAACGGGAGAGGCCACAGCAGTGAGAGGCCCGCGTACCGCAAAAACAAAACAAAACAAAAAAACCTTCTCCAGCTCTGGGCAGGACAGAATCCAAACTCCCCGTCTTGATGGGCTCCATGTAAAACCCCTCACAGTCTGGGTCCCATCTTTAAATCTCCATCCTGTCCCGGCCCCTCCCACCCCATCCCACTCCATCTTTTTATCCCACCCATTTCATCTCATCTAAATCCATCCCATCCTAACCATTCAGTCTTGCCCTGGTGCCACGCACTCTCCCTACAACCTCATAGAATTTACTAATTATAGTCCCGCTGATCCCATCAAGCTCTTTCAGGGTTTAGGGTTTCCCTCAGCATTTTGGGGGTGGGGTGGGAAAATGACCACTCCTCTCTCCCAGGGGGCCTCTCAGGTCCCCAGCCGCCACACAGGGCCCTTCTCAGATCCTCTGTATTCAGATTTCCTTTAAGCCTGTATCACACTTTTTTGTTCTCAGAGTACTGGCCATGAGCTTCCTCCCTGGCCTCAGAAGGGTGTCCTCCACCCTAGAGAGTGGACTGGCATACTAAAAGGTTTTTCTTTTTCCTTTAAAAAAAACTTTTCTAAAGTGAAATTTTCATTTAAATGTAACATACATCCAGAAAAGCACACAAATCATAAGTGCATAGTTTGGGAATGTAGGACTTTTTACAAAGCGAACACAAGCATATAACTGGCTGGAGTATTTCCAGCCCCCATAAGACACTGCCCCCTCCCTCCTGCCCCCTCTGGTCACTGTCACCTTCCCTCCAAGAGGCACCAGTAGCCTGACTTCAGTAAAAAGTTTGACCTCTGTGTGGCCAGGCTGACACCTGGGTTGGGGCAGGGAGAATGCTTAGGGAGCTTGGTGGTCCTGATGCTTAGGGTGATGGTGGTCCTGTGTGATTAGGGAGGGTCCTATAGAGGGTGAAGGGTCCTGTAGGTGGTGGAGGGTCCTGTGAAGGGTGGGGGTCCTGTGGGTGACGGGGGGACCCCTAGTTATCAATGGACCCATTATGTGACTGCAAAGCTGGGCTTGTAGGCAACTGACCCAAGGAGCTGGAGGAAATTGGGGACCACTCATGCCGTCATTTGTCATTGGTTGTCCTGGAGAGTTTCTCAGCTTTTCCTCTCTATCTGAGGGTGTCCTTGAGGGCATGGCCTATTTCTTCTGCCACTCCTCACCTGGTGGGCTCTGTGGTCACTCCCCCACAGAGTGAAGGGGGCTTGAGGAGCATTGTGGGCTGTTGGTACCTTCAGTTGGAGTAAACATGGAGCTGCCTCATCTGTGACTGAGTTAATTCTCCATTAGTAGAAATATTAGGGACTGACTGCTCTCAGGGAAGAGTTTGTAAGAGTTTGCACTGAGTTGGTCACACAGTGGTTAAGAACTCTGGATCTGAGCTAGCTGATTCTGCAACCTTGTCGAAATTACTTATCTTTTTGCCTTAGTGTGTCCATCTCTAAAATGGGCATGGTTTTATTACCTATCACCTAAGTGATGGCTGCGAGGTTTCAGGGCAATAATGGCATATAAAGTGCTTCACAAATTGTAAGCACTTAGTAAATATGAGCTATTAGTGGTGGTATATGTTGAAATAGTTGGCAGAGTTTTCCTGGGGCCCTGCGGTGTGGCAGGCTTGAAGACTCACCTCTGTGCTTGTGGAGAGCTCAGCCAACATAGGGAGAAAGAACCCAAACCCCTGACTGTGACCCAAGGAAACCAGCATTTGTGCCAGACAGAAGAAAAAGTGGCGAATGCTGGTGGGGAGGCCTGGAAGGTGCATTGTTGCTGGCAGGGGCACCAGGGAGGCTTCTCAGAGGAGGTGTCCTTTTGGCTGAGCCTTGAAGAGTGAGCAGGATTTTCACAGTTGGATGGGGAGGGAAGGGCATTGCAGATGGGGAATGTCTTAGTTTGGGTTCCCCCAGAAACAGACCCTGACACGAGGATTTGGGTGAAGCTGTTTATTTGGGAGATAGTCCCGGGGGCACAGTGAGGGGATGAGGAGAGGAGACAGAGGGAAGGAGACTCAGTGAGAGCTAGTTACTTACTGAGTGGGTTACCACTGGGAGCAACTGGGGCTCAAGCCTCCTGGGGGTCCTCTGAATGCACACAATGCACCCCAGAATTGCTCCAGGGGCAGGAAGTGGGGTATTTATCCATCAACTCCCATCCTTCCCTTGTTTGGGGGTCCATCCTGGGACCCTCTGCTCCTAGGCAGTTCCTCCCTGAAGCCCCTTGCAGACCTCACGTTTCTGGGGAGCATCATCGGGCAGGAGCGGCAGGAAGCCACTGGCCTCCTGGGACTGTCTGAGCCGGCCTGGTGGGAGGCTGAGGGGTTCGGTGGGGGGTAGCAGTGTCTGCCAGGGAGAACAGGGCTTAGCGGCCGGGGGGGCACGGCGTGGGGGGCGTGTTGGCAGAGACGGGAGAGCCTGCAGAGGCCTGCACAGCTTCCTCAGGTGGTAGCGAGCTCAGAATGGTGGCTTTTCTGCAGGCCAGGCCCTTGGCTTTATCCTGTTGTGTCCAACAGCCCTGAGGAGCCCCGAGCCCTTGTTACCCCTAGTTCACCGGTGAGGAGCTGGGGACAGCTGGTCTTCCTGAGTCCAGGTCCCCCGCTTTCCACAGGCCCCTTCTCTGTCCCCGCCCCTCAGTACTGTGCTCACTCAGTGTCCTTCCCAAGGCTGGGCCTTACCAGCTGCCCCGGTTCAATTTCTAGAAGCCAGCTTGCTCTGCGAGAGGCGAGATAAAGAGGAACTTGGGACGGGCACAAACCTCACCTCCAGCCTGGGCTTTATAGTGGGTTGCTGAGGAGCCTGAGCCTGTGTTCTGTGGTGCCAGCATGTCCTCTGGCCACAGAGTGAGCAGAAAGGGGGTGGCCTGCACCCCGCCCCACCCCCCCAGGGCCCTGGGCTCCTTCATCTCCTGCTCCTCAAAGATGAGACTTCTAGGGCTTCCCTGGTGGCACAGTGGTTGAGCGTCCACCTGCCAATGCAGGGGACACGGGTTCGTGCCCTGGTCCGGGAGGATCCCGCATGCCGCGGAGCGGCTGGGCCCGTGAGCCATGGCCGCTGAGCCTGCGCGTCCGGAGCCTGTGCTTCGCACCGGGAGAGGCCACAACAGTGAGAGGCCCGCTTACCGCCAAAAACAAACAAACAAACAAAAAAAACAAAGAAAGATGAGACTTCTAGTGACTACTAAAGGAGGGGCTGAAAATCACCGGGTTGCTGAATAAAAACGCCTTCCACCTGATGCTTCCTCAAAGGGCATCATGCACTTTATCCCACGAGGGGCGAGGCTGGCACTCAGGAGGCATTTAGGACTGGAACCCTGCAGCCTCTCTGCGCACGGGGAGCTCTGGGTCCGTGGAAGGTGGCTGGTCCGAGAGGTTACGTGGTTACGTGTAAAACAGACACTAGATTTCAAAGGCTTAATGCAAAATAAGAACGTAATATATATCAGTTTTTAATGTTGATTTCATGTTGAAATGGTAATATTTTGAATATATTGGGTTAAACAAAAGGTATCCTTAAAATAATTTCACCTGTTTCTTTCTACTTATTTTAATGAGGCTACTGGACATTTTAAAATTACAAAATGGCTTGCATTTTAATCTCTGTTGGATAGCTCTAAGGTCATTGAATCTATAGTTAATGATTTAAAAATTTTTTTATTATAATTTTGACTCTTAAAGTGACCAACAAATAGCATTATGGAAACGTCTTGAACCTATTTTCCCTCTGGTTCATTTTATTTATTTAATTGGCCGTGCCTCCAGGCACGCGGGATCTTAGTTCCCAGACCAGGGATCGAACCCGTGCCCCCTGCAGTGGAAGCGCGGAGCCCTAACCATTGGACAGTCAGGGAATTCCCTGTTTCTTTTTTTTTTGGAGTAAATTGCTTTACAATGGTGTGTTAGTTTCTGCTGTACAATGAGGTGAATCAGCTGTATGTATACCTATATACCCTCCCTCTTGGACCTCCCTCCCACCACCCCCATCCCACCCATCTAGGTCATCACGGAGCACCGAGCTGAGCTCCCTGTGCTTTA